GGCCACCCACTGTGCTGCCAAGGGATCTGGGGGTGGAGTCCGGTCTGTCTTCCCCAGGACGGGGCAGTGCAGGCTGCTAGTCCCGGCGCCGCATTACACCCACCACCACCCCCAACCAGCTCTCCCCGCACGGTCATCACCCTGGGTGTCTCTTCTTCACTGCGTTCGTGACCCTTAGCGAACTACCGTGGTGATACTTCCCGGTTTCCAGCCGCCCGGGTGAATGCCAACTCCCTGGGGCAGGAGCTTGTCATTCAGGACCCTGCCACGCCGACAGGAGGGCTCAGGAGTGTCGTACGGGGAGCCCCCCTCAGAGAGGCCATGTGCGCGGCTCAGCCCAGCACTAGGTCTGCCCACTGCCCAGGCCCCACCCCGTGCAGCAGCCACCAGCACCCTCGACAGGGCCCCAGCAGACCCACCTTCAGGCTACGAATGCTGGACGAGCTGGCGTCTGACTTGAGCATGACCTGGATGTCCTGGAGCACCTCCTCACCGGCGGGCCGGGGCCGGGTCACCTCATCAGCCACCTCCTTAGCAGCTTCCTCCAGCTGGAGAAGAGGGAGGGCCCGGGCTCAGTGACCTGAGCAGAGCAGGGAGGCATCCTGGGCGGGCGGTTCAGGGACAGGCCACTCACCAGCTGCAGGTGCTCCGCGGGCTGCTTGTACAAGTAGTCGGCCAGGTCCTCGTCGAAGCTGGCCAGGTCTTCCATCTCCACCTCCACCCAGTACTCCCCCAGGTTGTAATGCCGCTTGAGCTCATCCCTGGGGGACAAAAAGGAAACAGCACTGGCTAGGGTACACCCAAACCTGGGGTCTGCCCCTCCTCTTCCAGAACGCACCGGCGCTCCAGGGTGTTCCGCTAGTCCAGCCTGCACAGACTTCTTCCTGCCCCTGAAGCCAGGCCCGTGGCAGCGGGCCATGAGAGGGCAGCAGGGGTTCCGACAGCCACAGGTCCGTTCGGGAGGCGCCCTGACTGCAAACCCATGCTGCCCATGCTGCCATTCCTTGGACCTTAACTCTCTCATCTTAGACATACAAGCAAACACCCTGAGCTTGGCTATTTCACGGCAGCAGAGACCACATCTGTGTGGTCAGCCACCAAGAGGCTCTTTTTCTCGTAAGTTCTCAAGGGAGGAGCCACTGCCCTCCCACAGTCTGTTTCTCAGCTCAGCCCCTTCTGTCCCAACCACTCAAGTGGCAGTCTGGCCTCTGCTGTGCACAGCCACCCTGCTCCTCTGCCCACACTGCTTCCGACAGCTTTGCACTGAGGCTCTTCCCTCGGCTCAAGGACCACTCCAACCCAGCTCCTCTGGGGCAGCGACCAGGTCGTTTATGTGCTGGTCTCCCCGCCTCCCTCCCACTGAAGTATGAGCTTCCTGGGGTCAGCAGGATGAACCTGTCCATCTTCCATCTCAATGCATGGCGAGCCAGGCACACAGACGGTGGACAGAGGCAACTGATGCCTAGAGAGACCCTCGTGGGGAAGTCGCTCAGCTAATAACTGGCCAGGCCACGCCTGGCCTGAAACCATGTGCATGACTCACAGGTGGCACCAGCCAGGCCCTGGCCCCGCTCGCTCAATGCTGCCCCTGCACCTGGCAGCAGCAGGTGCCCTGTCAACACAAGTCGCAGTGCGGAATGAATGGGTGAAGGGAATCAAACTGTCCACTTCCCCTTTTGCACCCACAGGTGGTGCGTGTACTAGGTTACCAGAGTAATTACATGAAAGCAGCAGCAGCTGATGGACAGGAGCAAGGCTAGAAAAAGAAAGGTCCACGGGTCTCTAGCTGTTGTTGGGGGCTCCCTCCACAGGTGACTCGGGCCAACGTCCACTTCAGGTAGAAAAAGGCCACAACAAAGAGATGGGTGGGGGTGCTGGGTGGACAAAGCAGCACGGGTCACACCCCAGGCGCCAGGGCTGTCCAGACAGACACTAGGGCCCGCTCCTCCCGCCCGCACCTGTATTTGAAGGTGAAGCCGGTGCGGTCGGTGCCCACCCGGTACTGCCGCAGGAACTCCTTGAAGCGCCTCTGCAGCTGCGATTTCCGGGCCTGGCCCTCTTCGGCCGCGGGGTCCCCCCCGAAGCTGTCGCTGTAGAAAATGCCGGGGTCGTCGAAGCCCGACATGACTGCACCTAGCGAGGTCGGAGAGCGCTGAGGCAGGGTGGCCTCCCCGGCGCACCCCCGCAGCCTGGGGCCCCGCTCCAGCGCCTGGCGACGAGTCCCGGCTCCCGGTCAGGGGCGGAACTGCCAGTGCCCGGGTCCCCCTCCCGGACGCCGATCCCCGCCGTCCCGAGGAGAAACCCCGCACACTCCACTGCCCACCCAACGCAGACGCCTGGCGACCCCCCACGCTGGGGCCGACTCCCCAGCCTCACCTGTGTCCTCCCGCACTCCTCCACGCCAGAGATAAGCACCCCACGTTCCGCCGCCGAGTTTCGCGGGGAAAAAAGAGGCGTCGCTTTCGGATGTGGCGGCCGCTGCGTTCCCATTGGGCCGCCCAGAACGCTCGGCCTGTGATTGGGCCGCTCTGCTCCCGCTAGCCCCGACTCCTAGATCGGTACCGGAAGGGGATTGGCTGTGGGCACCATGGCGTCATCACTCTGCCCTTCTTCCGGGCTCCATTTTGTGCCGGCGGACAATTTGGCGCGAAATTTCTGACCCAGGAAGAAGCTGTGTTGAGGGGCGGGGTGAATGCAAAGATGGCGGAGGGGCGGGCCCTCGGGCGGAGGGGCGGGCCCTCGGGCGGAGGGCGGGGCCTCGGGCGGAGGGGCGGGCCCTCGGGCGGAGGGGCGGGGCTTTTAGTGAGTTTTCCGCAGCCTGTCAGAGCCTGGGCTCCCGCTTGGCGTCTGGGCCGGCTGCTCCCTCGCGGGTCCTGCAGGGGGCGCAGCGCTCCTGCCCCTTGTTCTCTCACAGGTAATGCTCTTCCAAAATTTGGAGAGGAATCTGAAATAACTTCCTATTAACAATTGTTGGGAGTCGCCGCCTTAACATCGTCACAAACTTCGGACTCAAGGATATTTTCCGAGACCCCAATGGCGATTCTTTCTTCTACTTGTAGATTTTTTCACCATCTTTCAAATTTGTGAAATTTGGTCATCCTTAAAATTTATGAAAATTCACAGACTCCCAACCCAGCATGGAAAATAGGCAGTTTTGGCAAAAATCACCGCATTTTCAAAGAGCCTTAAGGACTGAATCATTTCCCACCGCCAAGCTCCCTGGAGAAAACTTTATCCCCTTTGCTACATCCACAAAAATGTATTTACAGTAAGCATTTTCAACGTGTCTTACAGTGTATAAAAATGACACCACATGAGTGTGAAACTGGCCTTTTTCATTATGACTGTCCCTTTTTCAATGACTGCCCCTTGGAGTGGACAGTCGTTCTATGGAACGGCCCCACTTAATTTTCCATAGTGTGGCCAGAACACAAATGATTCATTTTCTCATTAATAGAACTCAAGGTGGTGTCGCTCGCCCCCTCCCTCTCTTCCTTCCTTCCATTGTCACTATAAACAAATGGGCCCCTTTCCAAGGAGTCTGGGGTTGGGGAGACCTGTGACTCCGCTGCCCAAGGTTTGTCACAGCGCATGGACAGTGCTCCCAGGCCCTGTGCCACTCTGGAGCCCCCCAGGGGCTCTGATACCACCACTCAGACTGTTTGGCCACCGCTGGGCCCTGCCAGCCACCGAGGGGGCGAGGTGTCAGCTCTGCATCTTGCAAGTGAGACGGAGACTTGAGGTGACTTTTCTTACTTATCCGGACTTAGGGACCAAGCCGGCATGAGGGACAAAGGGCCCCCGACTCCGTCCTACTTGCTAATTATGCCAGCTGGGTTGTCCTCTGCGCCCCCAAATATAACTTCAGGGAGGCTGTGCATTTCCTCAGGTGTGCTGTGGGGAGTACAAGACACGGGTGAGGGGCTCCCTGGTGGCCTAGGGGTTACGTCTCAGCTGTCACCCCTACCACGTGAGTTTGACCCCGGGCCAGGGAGTGACCCACAGGATGCAGCAGACCTCTCCTGTCTCCCTGCTGCACCCCTCAGCAGTGTACTTCACTCAACCTGCCTGTTCTGCTCCCCACTCTCTCTGGTGAAGCCTCTCACCCCCATACCTCTGGCCGACACCTCAGTTCTTGAATGCATAAATATAAATTATGTTTATGCAGGAAAAAAGGTGAGGAGCCATTTCTGCACAAGACTCACAGCGAAAGTCACACACACTGATGTCCCTGCTCCTACCAGGAGCTAAGGTTGCAGTGTGAGGACTTTGAGTGCTTCTCATTTGCTTCTTGACACAGCAGGTGAGGTGGCCTTCCTGGGTTCAGGTGACAGATCTGAGCCCCAGAGAGGGTACCAACAAACCTCAAAGGCCACGCTGCAAAGCGGGGTAGCAGGGATTTGAACCCAGGGCTCTCACGCTCTCCTAGCTTCCCTATCAGACATCAGCTTCACCCAGAATCTGCTCATTTCAGCCCAACAGAGCAATCTCCTTGTCAGTCAAGCCGAGCCTTGAAGAAAGCAGGATTTGCCACAAAGGCTCATCCACCAACTGCTTAAAATTATCCCTCACAGGCCCTCCCTGGTGGTGCAGCGGGTTAAAGCACAGCACTGAGAATCTAAAGCCACTTCTGCATGAGTTCAATCCCCGCCTGCCCCGGAGGTGACCACATGGTGTGGCAGACCTCTCCTGACCCGCCCCCTGCTCCCCTCAGCAGTGTACTTCGTCGATCTGCCTGTTCTGTTCCCCACTGTCTCTGGTGAAGCCTCTCACCGCCCCTGAGCCTCTGGCCTGTACCCCAGTTCTGTATGCACAAATAAATAAAATCTTTAAAAAAAAAATTATCCCTCACATTCTCAAACAGACCACAACATTGGAAATCTACTCCCAACACCCCCACCTTCATCCCTATCTCCCCATAAGAAAAAAGGAATGAAGAACAGGTCAGTTTCTCAAGAGTAACAGAACTCAAGACAAAAACTTCAAGGTACTATCAGGCAACATCATTTATTATTTCACATGAAAGTTAGAGGCCAAGGCCTCAGAGTTGTGAAACCCTCCCCGCCGCACCCGCCCACCCCAACCCTGCTATAAAAACATAATAGGACATAACAAACTACCAGTTTAGACTCTGCCGGGAACAAAAAGTGGCCTCAGCAAAACACAAGACAAAAACTCAAAACACAACATCTCTGCACGTGGATAGAAAAGTCACCGTGGCCAACAGGAACCAGGGAGCCAGGGGACCGGAGGCCCAGGACAGAGGTCACTTCAGGCCAGGTCTTGTGGGCTCTACTGCAGGAACGGAGGTGCCGAGAGCCCAGCAGGACTCTGGAGCTTCAGGCCTCGGCTACATGTGCGCTGAGCTGGGGGACCGTGCTTCCTTTCCAGAGCGAGAGGATGCCAGGGAGAGGGTGGGGGTGCAACAGCCCCCAGGTCAGAGATCAGGAAGTCACCAAGAGTCTCCCTCTCCAGAGAGAGGGCCTTCCGCTGGATGGACAGAGTTCATGGCCCAGGAGCCCGCGCCTGGCATCAGATGGCATAAAGCCCCACGGCGACCGTGGCCACCAGAAAGCTGAGTGTCAGGACCCACCGCAGCAGCGGCGTCTGGGGCAGGAGGCTGAGCTGGGCTTTCCCTCTGGAGGCCTCCACGGGAGTGGGGTCTGAAAGAGAGAGGAGCGCCATGTCAGCCACAGGTGGATCCAGGTGGGGGTGCCTAAGGCCACAGGAGTCTGCTCCCCAAGGAGAGGTGTCTCCTCCAGTGTCTTAAGCCCACGGGTGAAGAAAATGCCCCCTGGGGGTCTCCAGGGACCCCCTTCTGAGAACTGCTGCACCAGGCTCCCCCAGCAGGAGACACCTCCCATCAGGTTCCCAAGAGAGGGGTCCCCGGGTCATGGCCTGAGAGTCCTGGAGGCCCGGAGTGAGGGGCAAATGCGCAGCCCGGAGCTGTCACGGCTGCCGAGGGGCCCGTGGGGGCACAGCCAGAAGCTCCCTGTCCCACGTCAGGGGGTCTCTGCTCAGGAACCACTGAAGGGGACCCAATGATGGGGCGAGGGCTCGCTTTGGAGACAAAGAACTCGAAGTAGCTCCAGCACCCCGCATCCTAGAGAGCCCCACAGCCTGCCCCGGGCCCACAGTCAGGGCAACTGGAGGTTGCCATCAGGCCCCTCGTTTAAAACCTTCAGAAGACCCAGTCCCAAGAGATTGCAGGCAGACAGCCGGGCCCCACCCTCCAAAGGAGCCAGAGCAAGCGGCCTCCTGCGGCACTTACCTGGGGCGCTGGTGTGAGGCCGCTGCCGGAGCCCTGAGGCTTGCAGAGGGCTCTGGTCCTGGCTGCCCTGAGTCAGGAGCTCCTGCAACTCTTCGAACAGCTGAAAGACAGAAGACACACGGGCTCAGGACAGGCGGCGCGGGGCCGGGGAAAACCTCGTTTCATGAATGGCGCCTCCTGCACAAGGTGCGTCTGCAGTCTGCTGTCTTCACTCCACCTTCTGGGGGGGACTTGCCCGCGGCAAGGGGAGGGTCGGGGATTCACCGGCCAGGCCAGCGTTTAAGCTCAGAGCAGTGGTATGCCTGGCGGAGGCTTCTCTAGCAGCAGGGCCCAGCCCTCCCGGGGCTCTGGCTCTGACCCCGCCCTGTCTGTGACACCGTCTGGAGATAGATCTGCTGGCGAGATGCCCCCCGGCCTGGCATGCAGGAGGGCATTGCTCTGCTAGTTGCTTCCACCAGTGTCTCCAGAGGCCCATGTGAGATTGGGGACCCAGGGGCCTGAGCTAGGGCCCCAGCCCCAGCGGCAGCTCCAGGTGGGGGAGGGGAGGGAGCTACAGGACTCCACACAGCAGCCCACTGCCACCGGGACACCACCCGCAGGTCCACTCAAGAATCCATCCTGCAAGGCCTTGTTCCAAGCTCACCTTCCCTCTGGGCTTGCAGAAAGAGAAGCCCCGCCTCGCTGGCTGGGAGGCCCACGCTGCAGTGCCTACCTGGGGCCTAGGCTGGCCAGCCCCTGGCCCTCACGCCCCGGGAACAGCGCTGCGCTGGGGAGCGGAGCCCACGCTAGGCCCTGCTCAGGGGGCTTGGCTGGAAGGAACGCACTCACCCCTCACAGCCACGCTCAGAGCTGGGGGGCTTTTAGCCCCCATTTTACACAGGGGAAATGGACGTGCAGAGAGAGAAAGCCCTGGCTGCGCCTACCCAGCCAGGAAGGGGCAGAGCTGGCAGCCTGGCTCCACGCACCACGAACTGCAGCCTCTCCCCCACCACACAAGAAACGTCCCTGGGAGCAGCAGCTGGGGAAGCCGGCCGGCCGGGCGGCCGGACCCTTACCCGGATGTTGAGCAGGAAGGCGGTCTTGGCCTCTTCGATCACTCTGTGCCTGACCTCGGGGGTCATCTCCAGAGCGTTCATGCGGGAGCGGTAGAGCTGCTTGAACTTGGTGGCGCTCTCGATGTTGGGGAAGGTGAAGAAGGCCAGGCCCTCGCCGGAGCTGGGCAGGTCCAGGGCCTTCTGAGCGATCTTCTTGAGGACCTGGCCCCCGGACAGGTCGCCCAGGTAGCGGGTGTAGGTGTGGGCCACCAGCAGCTCGGGCTCCTTGCCGCCCACCTCATGCAGCCGCCGCACGTAGCTCCTGGTGGCCTTCGTGAAGGGCACGGCCTTCTCCCAGCCCGGCCCGTACCAGAAGGCCATGTCCTGCTCCAGGGCGGCGCGGCGGTGCAGCTCCTCCGGGAAGTAGAGTGGGGCGTAGACGGGGTTCTCCTTGTTGCGCTCGATCTCCTCCTCCAGGGCCACGTAGATGTGATACAGGGAGGCCATCACCAGCTGGAAGCAGAGCAGACAGGAGTGAAGCTCTCCTTGCACACACACCCCTCCGCCCAGGCTGGCCCCACCTCCGAAGCACTTTCTCAGCCTGAAATCTTCCTTTTTTTTTTTTTATTTAAGATTTATGTGTGCATACAGAACTGGGGTACAGGCCAGAGGTGCAGGGGCGGTGAGAGGATTCACCAGAGACAGAGCGGGGAGCAGAACAGGCAGATGGATGAAGTACACTGCCGAGGGGAGCAGCGGGGGGGAGACGGGAGGGAGGTGCCCTGTGGGTCACCCCACTGGCTGGGGATCGAACTCCAGCTCAAGTGGCTGCAGACAGCTTAGAAGGGCTGTGCATCGCCTGTGGTGCCAGCAGGGAGGGCCCTGAGCCTGAAATCTTTCCGTCCCACGGGGGAGAGTGCATGTCTACGTTAATCCTTAACAAAAATCCAACCAAGGGATGTGCATGCCCCCTCTCACAGAAAGGGAAACTAGGCTCAGAGAGGATGTGAAACACCAAGCTCACATAGCAAGTAAGAAGTGAGTCGGAGTCCAGCCCCGGCGAGCAGGGCCCCGGATTAACTGCTCACAGGAGGTGCTGGTCCCTGAACTCTGGCATCTGGCCTCTAGACGCTCCTTCCCGGGCCCCCACCCCTGCCAGATGTGGGGCTCAGGGGCCAGACCCAGTGTACTCTGCCTCAGAGAACTCCAGTTACATATTAATGTTCTATTCAGTTAGAAAAAGGGCAAAGTTGACAAATTCCAAGTGAGTCTCCGGAGTTATTTCTGAGCCATAAACCTTCAGAGCAGCCCCGTATCCATCTCAGCAGGGCCAAGAACCACAGCCTGGCAGAAAGAACACGGACGGCCTGGCTCTAGCGTCGGCTTGGCCAGCCCCCAGCTGTGTGACCCTGGGTAAGTCACTTGCCCTCTCTGAGTCTCGGCTTCCGGCCCCAGAGCAGGAGGTGACCTGAGGTCTGTGTGAAGCTGTGCGAGTCAAGCCTCCTCCCTCCCTGCTAACGGGGACGGCCAGGACCACACGTACTGGTCTGGGGTAGGGCTGGTGTGGAGAAGCCAGAGCTGGCCAGCTCTGAAATCAGCCGTGACAAATGCCACCTCCAGAGGCATCAGTGAAGGGAGCTGTCACGGACCTTTGCGGCCCCCGTGACACTTAAAGGCCAGATCCAGTCTTTGGTGGCTAAGATGGGATACCCCCTGGTCCCCTCCCAACTCCAGCCACGTCACAGCAACCGCAAATGCCACCTTGTGGTGGGGGAGAAGGGCGAGGAAGAAGAAGCGAGGGAGCCAAGGCCCCAGAAGCACAGTGGTGGGGTTCAGCTTCCCCACAGAACTCTGCCCGACTTCAACAAGCCCTTCCTCCCGGGGCACCTGTCGGGTCCTTGGCCAAGTGCGTCCCTCTATTTGCTTGAGTCTCCCAGCCGCAAGGCAGTGCCTAGGAGTGTGTGCGTGCCTCGGGAAACCCTGCTGGGCGTCATTCCAGGAAAGCGAAGTTGTCACAGGGCGGCTGGGGAAGGGCCTTTGCTGGCGCTTTGTGCTGGGGCCTCAGCCCACCCCACCCTCTGGCCTGCAGAGGCTCTGGAATGAACCCTGCCTTGGTCTGACATTGGCCTTTTCCATTGACCTACTGGCTGTGCGACCTTCTGTTAGTTACTAAACTTCTCTGAGCAATCCCTTCCTCCTCTCCTTTATCAAGGGTGAGGCACAGATGGGAAACCAAGTGCACAAAATGAGGGCTCAGTGGACAGCACGACTGCCCCCCACTTCATAGAGGCCATGAGCAGAGGTGCTGTGTGGCCTTAGGAGTTCCCCTTTCTGGGCCTCAATGTCAGACTCTGTAAAATGACCCCCTTAGACAGCACTGACCCCCCAACCCTGGCCCCCTCCGCATCCTGGTCCCAGCACCCACTTAAGCCTCTGACCTGAGGCCCGGCACGCCCACCCCTGCCAACCCTCCCACCGGGGCTGGTCCCATCAGGACACACACCTTAAAGCCCTCTCGGGTCACCTGGCCCTTCTGGAAGTTCCTCATGAACTCAGCATTCTCAGCCTGGGTGTGAACCTCCTGGGTGGCTGCCTTCAGGGCCTCTGACAAATCCTGGGGTCTGCTGCAGAGTCAGGGAGGGAAGGAGAACAGAGAGTGGCTGTGAGCTTCTCAGGGTGGCACCACCTACCAGCCAGCCCCAATCTCGCCCTCATCAGGCTTCTCTGCAGAAATGAAGTCCAACTCCCATCCATACACAGACCCAGGCCCCAGATGCCATAAAACGCTGTCCCCATCGGCTCTTCAGTCATTCAAATACTATGTCCCATGGCCCGGGTCCACCTGGGGGGGGGGGCATGCTCGGCCCAGGGGTGCAGCGGCAGGCAGGGTCTGGCATCCTTGTTCAGCGTCATAATTGCTGTGGCTGGCTTTAGACCCCAGATTTAATTCATTCATTCTGTTGCCGTTTCAGATACAATCTCATGCCCCCTCTAATCTGATTCAGAAAGCTGCAAACTTCTGCTTTACTCCAAATGCCTCTCTGAAAGTACTTCTGCCAGATGCCCGCCTGTGCCCACCCACCCCACACAGTCATTTCTCCTTTCTCTCCTACGCTGCTTCCAGAGACACCGTCTCCTGCCCTGGGTGCCGCTCACACTTCTGGCGGGCGGCAGGGAACTGGCCAGACTCAGAGGAGGGGGATCCCGGCTCCCAGCTCAGAGGCTGCAGCCAATACCCTGGGCTGCTCCCACCCTCGGCTGGACACTGGGAGCATCAGAGCTCCGGGAACCGCATGTTCAGGTGCTGGACAGCTAGTGAGAGGTGGACAGCCAAGCCGGGCTCAGGTGAGAAGAGCGCTCACTCTCACCGGACTGGGGCAGCGCTAGACAACGCAGGTGCTTTCCACGCACCCCTGAAAGTCCAACACTAGAAGAAAAGTTGGTTCCCGGGGTGAACCCTTAACTACGGACCCACGCCCGGTCAGGGGGCCAGGCGTGCAAGCCGCCTCTCAGGCAGGCCGCTGGGCACGGGGTCCTCGGGTCTCCAAAGCCCAGTGCGGGCGCTGGCGCTTCCCCGCCACCCCCGTCCCTCATCCCCCGACCCCCGATCCCCGAACCCCGGGCCCGGGCCGCCGGCCGCCCTTACCTGTAGCGCTCCATCGTGGCTTGGCGCGGCTGGCCGCTCGGTTTGGCTCCGACGTCCCGAAGGCGGTGGTGGAGACCGGCGAGGGCTGTGCCGAGCCCGGCCGCGCCGGCCCTTTATCCCCGGGCCGGGTCACGTGGCGGCGCAACAGCTGATCAGCGCTTTGCCCGAAGTTGCAACACCGGGCCCCGCCCGCCCGGCCAGCGGGGGCGGAGGGGGGCCGGTCACATGAGCCTTGGAAAACAAAGCCTTTAGAACAGGACGTTAAAAAAAAGTCTTCTGGAAATCAAGCAGCTGTGTGGTTTTGCCCCCCCTCCGGGGATGGGACTTCCAGCGCCCCAGGAGTCTGGAAGTTTCCAGATGGCTGGAAGGGGAGCCTGGCACCAGACCCAGAGACTGAGGGGCAGCATCAGGGACTCACCCCGCTGGCGTCTCCTTGCAGCCTCTGAGCTGGTTCTTTAAAACACCCTGGCTGGTGACAGCCTGCTGCTCTCACTGTGTATGCAGGAAGGTGCTTTTGGGTCTTCGGGTTTTGAGTACCTACTAAGTGCTAGAGATGACTGTCTTCAGGATGCATCCCTACAACTACCCTGAGGGGTAGATCACTCCTGTTTTACAGAAGGGGAAACTGAGGCTAGCAGGGTTGCAGTGGGGTGTGCAGGAATCTCCCCACAAGCCCGAGGGCAAGTCCCTGTCTCCTCTGCCTGCACCTGGCTCTCCTTGCCCTTGTGACACGACTTGGCAGTGCCAGTGTCCGGCAGACCCCTCCCAGCCTGTCCCCGGCCTGGGGCAGAGATGCCCTCGCTCATCCACTGCTGAATCAACTCTGTATGGGGCTGATGGCTCAGCACTGGGGGCAAGCAGGTCACCAGATGGCAAAGGCACTGACTGGTTCCTAAAGTCCCTTCCCGACACCACAGTTCTGGAATAGAAATTTGTGGTAAGAAGTGACTTTGGCTCACGACAAGGGTGTCATCTGGAAATGGAGGCTGCCCCTGTGCCCTGTGGACACTGCTGGTACCAGCCAGAGGACGCCAGCCAAGCACGGACGCCCCACCGGGCCGGGGGTGCTGAGCCGGTCTTCCCTTCCACCTGTGTGTCCAGGGGGTCTCTGTGCTTGGAAATGGGCAGGTGGTGGGTCCAACCCATCGCGGGCCTGAGCAGTCCTCCTCCAAGGTCACCTTCCTGGGTGTCAGTCCCCAGATCAGTCCACCATCAGAACATTCCAGATAGAGGAGCTCTGAGCCCAGGCGGTTAGCCCTTGGAATCACCTCTGCCTCGGTGATCGATAATAACGCTCCTAACATCCACAGGGCACTTCCCTGCACCAGATACGATTCTGAAGAGTGACAAATACTAACTGATTTAATCCTCATAATAATGCCATAGGCTGCTGCTACAATTATCCCCACTTTGAAGAAACTGAGGCAGAGAGCTTCAAGGTAGGGGCTTGAGCCCAGGTAGTCTGGATAAAGACCTCAAAACGGCAAGGTGAGGTGTCATCCTAGAATGCACAGAGGGTAAACCAGGCCAAAGGAAGGGGGCGATACCCCATGGCAGACGGCACCTCCGAGGTTGTCTTGGAAACACTTGTCTTCTGGACAGAGGCACCTGCTGTTTTACAGGATTCACAGGGGTCAGAACTGAAGCTGCTCCGTGATTTCAGAAAGAGTGGCCAGACCTTTGTAGGAAAGAGGGGTAGCAGAAGCCAATGGCCTCATTACAATGCCTGCGTGGCCTTGTAAATTCCCAGCATCTGAAGTCAGCTGAGCAGGTAGCAATCAATACGATTGAATAGATGAGGGAGTGTCACGCCATCTCACTCTGGTAAACATGGCAATATTGCCAGGCTGCCAGAAAGGACTTTATTGTGCACCTACTGTGTGCACAGCTGTGAAGTGCGGGTCTCAATCGCAGGGTAGCTGTGCAAGGGATAGTCACGCTCATGTCCATTTTGTCTGTGTAAACCGCTGAGGCACAGAGAGGTTGGGGAGTTTTCCCAGATCCCAGACCCGTCAACTCAGGCACCCCAGAAAGTAAAGCTCATATGCTCTTACCCCTGACATGGGGGTGCTGAGCCCCCAAGAGGGGTCACTTGTCCACCCTGTACCCCCAACTGAGGGACCCCGGCTCCCAGCCCAGGCTTGCTCTGGTTCCACTGCTTCTCCAGGAAACCCTGACTTGGCTGAAACAGCCCCAACTCCCAGCAACCCAGACAGAGGAGCTGATGTGGTTCCGGCTGCCCCTGGGCTGGCGGGTGCTCTTAAGGCCCTTCCGCGTGCTGATGCAGCCTCCTGACTTCCGCTTCCCCATGCGTGAGCTGCCGGGGTGGCCCGAGGGGTGCTCTTTCTCCTGTGGCAGGCTGCCCAGTGGCCCCAGTGTGCCTCCTAACGGCAGGGATCTTGCAGACGTGAGTCAGTTGCGGGCTTGCGATGGGAGCTCATCCAGGATTACCCTGCTGGTCTAGTGGAACCCCATCCTTCTAACAGGGGTGTGAGAGCAGCTAGCATGGCCCGTCTGCCTGAGCTCTGGAGGGCCAAAGCTGAAGCCCGGGCGGGCCAGGCCTTCACGGAGAGTCTGGACCACAGGGAAATGGCCCCTAAAGGGAACAGGGCCTCTGGAGCCAAATGTGGTGGCACCTCGCGAGAAACTGAGGTTGCCGAGCCAGGCCAAGTCCCTCCATGTCACCACCCCGGGGGCAAAGTTTCTCTGATGCTGCCACCCCCAGTGGTGGAACCGGAGCCTCCACCCGTCACACTCCCTGGTGTCCTTCATGCTAGCTGTTGTATAGAGAAGCTCCGTCTCCATTCTCTGCTGGGCTCATTTGAATTGGAAGGTGGGGAGCCCGGTGGGCTGAGGCATGAGAGACACGGAAGTCCGGGACTTCAGAACATGGCAGTTTGTGGGGTGAAATCAGGGTCTGGTCAGCTGGACCTTGCAGGTGGGGGAGAGGCAGGAGGAGCCTCGTTAGGGAAGGGCTGAGTGGAGGCTGCAAGGTGGGGCAGGCCTGGTGGAACAAGCAGCAGCCAGGGGCCCACGGAGCTGCAGCAGAGAGAGAGGGAGGGCGCAGGGTGGAGACCAGAATAGGCGGAGGGAGGACAGGTCCGAGGGCTGCAGGCCCAGGTGTGCAGACCGAGGGGGCTTTCTCTGAAAGGAAGGGACGGATATGGGCAAGCACGTGGCAGAAGCCAAGAACTTGCTTCCTTGGGTGTGCGTCACTTTCCTGATGGAAAACTGCACAGCGACTTGTCACTCTGGCAGGGGATTTATGTGAAAGGCAAGAATTTAGGAGAGCATAGATTGTATCACAAGGAAGTGTCTTTGCTACAGGCCCTCACCTGGCCCCTGTCTTCTCCCAGCATATATTTGGTTCACGTTTTGCTTTCTTTCACACGGGACCCTCTGTGAGAGGGAGAGACGGGAGGGTTTCGAGCAATGAGGGGAGCTGGCTTGGTTTTTCTGGGGTGGATCTCTGGTCACTGACGTTGGGCTGCACACAAGAAGCCCAAGGGCAGAGCCACCTACCTGCCACAGAGACCCTGGCTGGAGATGTTGGGGGCCCGGACAGGAAGGGCTAGAAGTGGCTGAGGATGTATCCTAAAGGCAGGGCTGCCAAGCATTTCAGGAGAGGAAGTGGATGTGGCAGGGGAGTCTAGAATAACTGCAGAGGTTCTGTATCCAGCTCCCGGGGAGGTGGGATTGCCAGGTTACTACACAGGGGAGCGGGTGGGAGACACAGCTCAGCCTTGGACAGATGGGTCTGGAGGTGGAAGGGACTTGGCTTTGCAAACAAAGTGTAAGAAAGGAGATAAATAGGAAGGTTCTGCCCCTTTCTAGAAGTTTCACTTCCTCTTGCCTATGGTAAAATTGCTCTTTCACCCAGCCCAGGCTGCAGAAGCAGAGGGTGACTCAGCACAATCTGCCTCCCCTTCCAAGGGCCCCCTCCCAACCATGACACAGCAGAAATGCAGCCTCTGGAGGAGAAAGCAGAAATCACGACTCAGCACTCCGCAGGCGACTGGAAAGTCAGTGGTTTGGGCTGCAGGCAGGCGGCCAGAGCTGGGGCTGCCAAGGTTCTAAAGCTGAAATATAGGGGCGGCCCCAGCTGAGGGTGAGGGGCAGGGGAGTGTCTTGCCAGATAGGAGGAGATCTGGGAGACCACACCTGGGTACTCTCAAGCGCAAGGTATCTCAGGTAAACAAAGTGACACAGGGAGCCCTGGCGACACTCCACCCACAGGCCTAAGAGGACACACCTGGGACCCAGGAGTGCAGGGGACCCCATGGGGAAGGAGCACAACCTTCCTCAGCAAGGCAGACAGGCCCAGACATTAAACATATCCTCACATTGGACTTCACAACACCAAAGCTTTCTGGGTGGCAAGATACCCCACGAGCCAGGTTGAAATCCCACACAGGCTGGGAGAAAATGTCCACCGCACAGTGACAGACACAAGATGTACACCCCAAATGGAAGGGCTCTCCCACGCAAGGGCAGGAGAAGGGGGCACTGGTGGGACAGCTCTCCATTCTTACCTCCTTTATGCCTCCTGTTGCCCCTCATCTTTTATTCACTTACTTGTTAACATGTATGGGTTTTTTATTTATGCATACAAGAACTGGGGTGTAGGCCAAAGGTGCAGGGGGTGGGGGTTGAGAGGACTCGCCAGAGACAGAGTGGGGAGCAGAGCAGGCAGATCTACTGAAACACTGCTGAGGGGCACAGTGG